TTGTGTGTTGTCCATTCTAAGCCCTATATGCAGGGATAAGGAATCTGGGTGTACCATGAATTTAAGGGCCGGCTGCTAACTGAAAGAGCAGTGTTTAGAACTCACCAGCTGCCCCCTGGGAGAAATTCGAGGGAGTCTGCCCTCCTGTCATCTTGTCCTCCTCTATTTCAGACAGTCCATGTCCCAGGAATAAGTTTATACCCCCAGATGTAATCCACTTGGGGAGAGGATTGTCTTTGTTGTGTCAGTGAGGTCATATCAGCGTAGGGTGTGCCTTAAACCTTTTGAGATATAAAGATATATGTTAGACACTGAAGCCAGCCAACAAGAATGGGGAGAGATGAGTGCGATGTGGAGATGTCCGTGGAGCGTGAAGAACAGTGCCAGAGAAGTTGGGACCATGATTTTCCCGAAGAACAGATGGGGGGAGTGTTTCTCTAGAGCTCAAAAAAAAAAAAAAAAAGCCCCTCACTGCCATTGAGTCCATTGCGATTCCATAGGACAGGGGAAAATTGTCCTGTGGGTTTCCAAGACTGTAAGTCTTTATGGGAAGATAAAGCCTGTCCTTTCTCCTGGGGGAGCTGATGGTTTAGAATGGCGATCTCTTGCTTAGCGGGGCAGTGCACAATCACACCACCAGCGCCCCTGTCCCTCAGAGTCGCACTCCGAATTTGGGCTTGTAAGCCCCTAACCCACTGTGTTCTCAGGAACACTGGTGACATAGTGGGTGACAAGTTGACCTTTTAACTACAAGGAAAGCAGTTCAAAACTCCCAGCTGCCTCCCTGGAGAGAGTGAAGCTTCTACTCTCATCGAGAGTCGCAGTCTTGGAAACCCACAGAGGCAGTTCTGCTGTCTCCCACGATGAGTGGGGATCAACTCCATGACGGTGAGTTTTTTGAGAGGCTCCTAACCTTATGGAAAACCAAATACGTATCTTTTAAAATCACTCACTTGTAATATTTCTGTTATGGCAACATTAAGAAACTAAGACAGGTGAGAGGACACATTATAAACGAAGGTAAAGTATCTTTTCTTGTGTTTCTTTTAGCCTTCTGTTCCGTGTGGTTCCTGCTTTCTAAACGTGCCTTCATTAGCCATGTGTGTGGTACGAAGGGCCTTGCAAACATCTCTTTGGAAGTTTAGTAGGAGCAGGGTCACAGGGAACGAAGGCTCTTCTAGTTCATTCAGCAGGGAGAAGGATTGTGTTTAGAAGGCTTCTGCCAAGACATCAAATGATAAGATCTAGAGGATCACTACAAGGGTCTGGTCTGGGGAAAGATAACAAGATAAGGGCCTTCCATCAGCTAGTCTGGACAAAGGTCACACACTGACTGAAAGGGGATCCAGCACTGCTCACCAGGGTTTGTGACCCAAACTTTAGCCAGTAGTTCAGAGAGTTGATTTTTCTGGGGCATCCTCCATGGTGGTGTAGTGGACTGTGCACTGAGCTGCTAATCACAAGGCCAGTGGTTTGAAGCCACCTGCTACTTCTCAAGATAAAGTAAAGGCTCTCTACCACCACAAAGATTTAAAGGCTCAGGAACTCAAAGGGGAAGATCTACTTTGTTCTCCTGAGTCACTATGAGTTGGCCTTGACTCAACGGCAGTGAGAGAAAACAGGCAACAATGGGCTCAAACACAGCAATAATTGTGATTGTGGGGATGGCACAGTGTTGCTGTGACTTGGTGGCACCTAACAACAGCAGCTATGAAGTCTACTGCCAGATCGAGCATAAACTGTAGCATTTCTACATGACTCTTTTCTCTAGCATTAAATTTTCTATACTTCCATGTGTCATCTGTGAAGAGTGTTCATGGCTGTAACTACTGAACAAGGTTATTTATTATGAAGTTTGGGTTCGTCTATTAACGTACCCAAACTTCATAATAAATAACCTTGTTCAGGCACATGAAGCACACAGACGTACCTAAAGCACATAGACATTGCC